CCTTTTAGGCTCCGCCAATCCCAAGCGTTTTGGGTTACGTGACAATAGATAACAAAACTAATATCTTTTTCGTTATTTTGGCACTTTATTTTTAAAACTGCCAATGCCCTATTGCGTTGTTATAAAGTCAGTAACTGACATATTCAAATTCTTTCCAATCTGTGACTGTGTTTATTTTGCGGTTTGTTTTGTTTCATAGTTATTTATTTAGCGACCATATTGTTAGGAACTGTGATTGATTCGCCGTTTATTGTGCTTTTCGCTTGACTGTATTTGATTTATTCAAGTGTAACACTATTATTCTGTCTGTGCTGTGTATACCTATTTGAAACCACCTGAAAAAAAGATGGACGTAACCTCTTCTATAATTATAATCTTGAGTGAAGCATGCCATTGGCAGCCGTTAACTACGTATCAGATTCAAGTTAACATAAGCGGGTATTATGTTTTTTAATGATTAAAATTCAAGAAAAGTAAGTTTAATTTGAAACAAATCTGAAAAGTTTCATACTTTTAAATTGTTTAAGATTTCGATCTTTTTAATTAACATTGTACCTAATTATGAATGTAATATTAATGAACACTTTTTTAGTGTCAGAAATCACAGCTATTTTTTCATTACATAATATAGCAATTTGTGAATTTACATGTCCTTTTTTGTTTTTGATTATACGTACTATAATAAAATTCGATTGTTTTTCTTTCTATTTTAACACTGAGGGGGGGGGGGGGAGAGGGAGGTTGCTCATCAGGCCACAGAGGCTCCGATAAGGCCCTATGAAATGTACTCGATACTTTGAAGTATCGATACTTTTGTTTCGATACTTTTACGAGTACGATACTTTTTTACCGATACTACTCATGAGTACAGTATCGATACTTTCTATTCGATATCGTGTCCCTAACTAGACGGCCATGACCACGGCCAGTGGCCCAAGGACCAAATTAACTAAAGAAACCATACGAACGCCGTGCCGGCTAACTTTAGTTAATCAGGTTGTTGCGACCACTGCTGGTCGTAGCCGTCACGTGGGCGAAATGGCTAATAGTGATTTTACTAATGCAAATTAAAAGTTATTTTTATTTCAATCCAATTGAAAACAGACTAGACAACGAAATGTTTTTTTTACGGAATTTGAAAAATCTTAGTGATTTTCCTTATTTGAAGAAGAAACATCCTTACATTTAAACATAAAGTACCTAAATCCACGGCAAAAAATATTATTGCATCAAGTGTATTCAGGGAAAGGGTATTATAACACCTTTTTGCGTCGACCCTAATACCTTTTTAAAGAACAAAGTAGAGAAGGCATTAGTATGGTTTCGTTTTATAAATCGGGTGAGCCCGAAACTAAGCTGAGAAAGATTGCGTAACGTGAGCAAGTCTTAAATATAAAATTAGAAAGAATCACCTAGGCTAGAACCGTAAAATCGATGATGAAGATATTGTTAGCAGAACTGCTAACGATATCTTATCTGCTAGCTTATACGTGCTTTCAACATTTGTTTGCTTGTATTTTGTTGAACGTTGACTATGGGTAAGCGTGACATTTTTCCACTCCTTGAAAAAAGATTAATTTGTTTCTTATTTATAAGAGCCTCCGCTGCTTTAAGCGGAGCGAACATCCACCGTGTATAAATAAAATGCAGATGAATATTTTTAAACTCAAAATTAATTTATTTCAAGGAGACAACTTTATGCATGGATTTTCTTGGTATAGACAAGACGGAAACGGATGTAGTTACAATCGTCTACGACTTATTAATGTTGCAATTACAGAAAATAATATTTTGATCTAGTTATTAATTTTTTATACATTTTTATGTTTAAATATATTATTAAACACACCGCGTAGACCCTTTCCGTGCCCCGCCGCGGTCATATCAACAAAGTGTGTGATAAATTGCGAGCAGTATTGGCCAAGTTTAGTCTGATCAAAAATAAAATACCTTATCATATAAGGCTAATGTTATACAAGACTTTAGGAGAATCTATAGTATCATATGGACTAAGCTGTTATGGATATAAATCATATTTAAATCAAATATATAATCTGCAAATAAAAATATTAAAAGCAATAGTGCCGTACAAAAAAAAATATAAAGGAAAATATGAAGAATTATTCAGTTATTGTAAAATAATGCCTGTACATGATAAAATTAAATATCAGCTGTAATGTGAATTTTTTACAATTCTGCAATTCATAAACTCGTTAGCCATTCGATATATACCAGAAATATTAATAAACAACGCCTTACCTCATTTTACTAACACTTATGGCAGTAGACTTTTAAGTCTTATACTACCTAAAGCACTTAATGAATTACCACCCTCTCTTAAACAGAAAATAAATACAAAGATTATCAAATATGTGCTTAAGAAATACTTTGTTGGATTGATTTGTGATAATCATAAGTACTTACAATCTTATTTTGTATTTTAATTTAATAACTTAATTTATTGTGTAAATGTAATCATCATGTATAAATGCACTAGGTATTGTTAAGGCGAAACTACTTTGGCGCTTCTGTGGCCCGATAATACAGGGAGGGATTACTATATGTCCGTCTTACTGCAACTCGGTCATGTACAAAATGTAGCCGCACCACTCTGTCATCGTCATCAATACAATGACAAGGTGCGCGATCCTCTGGCGGACTATAGTAATTCTACCTGCATTTCATTGATAATAATTTGTGTAGTACCTACTTAGTGTCTGTTGAACACGGCGACTGACAAACCTTGCATGGTTTTTGGTTGCCGTAAATACTAATATGTTTTGTAAATGAAATTGGGAAATAAATAATAATAATAAAAAAAACTTCCGCCTCTCAGTACAATTTCAATCGCGCGAGTAAAGATTGAGAATAATTTGAGTTTCAACAACTCCCTGAATGCAAATTCAAATTTTAAAATGAGCCTTTCATAAAGTTATAGGTTAAGAGTTCTATAATAAGAATTGCTTTAATTAAATGAATGTAATAAATAAAAAATGGGTGCGTGTACTTATGTAGGCGCGTGAGAAGTTATCCTTCTTTGGCATCGTTTAAAATTAGTTTTTAATTGCATGCAAATAATTAATTACAATAAATTAATAAAAAGTCTGGAAAAGGACACAGTCAATAAAGTTCAGTTTTAATTTGAAAAAATAAATAAATAATCAAAATATTCATTTAAAATCGCTACTGAATATAATTTATTAGAACATATGTGATTTGCACTTGTATGAAACTCAAACACGTATTCCGAATATACAAACTAGAAACATGTGGATAAATATTATAAATATGAATACCTATAACTGTTACTTTATTACAAAAAATAAAGATGTGGTTTTTGGTTCTACTACACCAATGGTCAAGAGATGGCGCTGTAGTCTCCTGAATCGCGCTTTGGTTCCGTTGTTCCAGATTAATAAATACTTTTGATAGGCCTTCACAATGCAGTCGTTAGCACCCACTAAATAGAGATTCTATTTATATTTTGTTGATAGATTTTCTTAATGTGCGGTAAACACAAAAGTAACGCATGAAGTTGGTCGCTAAAGCGACCAACTTCATGCTGTTAAAATTTTATGTTACAGTGATGCGCGCGCATCTTAAAATTTCACTCTCATCATTTTTTCATAACGCGCCTAAAGAAGTATAACTTCAAAAATACTGACAGGACGCTAGCGGACACAAACATTGTCACCATTATTAAAATGAAAGAGGTGCTTATAGAAGCATATATAAACGTGATACAAAACATTTCACGTTTCGGTACACAAGGAAATAAAAAAAAATGTTTAGTTGTATACTAAAATTGAATTTCCGGTTTGATTTCAAATAGCGGTCAGGTAAAACACATTTACTATCTTTTCCTTTGCTCCAAATTTTTTTTGGTTTGCACATTAAAAAAAAATAATTTTATAATTTCCTTTTTTTATTTTTGTGACATACAAAAAATTAGTGATATACATTTTTCTTTAGAGCAAACGAAAATTGTAAGCTCGTGACTTTACAGTAAAGGCAAAGCACGTAACTTTATTTTATTAAAATTGAAAACCAAAATACAAAATCATTAAAAATTAACTATAAAATAAAAAAAAATCAATATCGTTTATTCAGTCTAGGCTGTTACAAGCACTTGTGAATGTCGAAAAGCTACGCCATCGGTTCGCAAATCTACGGCGGGAGAGTACCTTGTACTGAGAAGAACCGGCAAGAAACTCAGCAAGGGCTGTTTTTTTCTCCCTGTATTATATACAGAGTCGTCAATTTGAAAAATGACTTCAATATGAGATAAAACACTTATTATACTATAAAATAAAAAACAGATTTAAAAAAAATGTTTAGGAATGCCGTGTCCTACTGTTTAGGCATAAAAACAAATGTACGGTTAAACTTAAATACGATTAATAGTACCCAATGTAGCAATCTTAAATGATGTATTGGTACAATCGAATGAAACTAAGCTAAATAAAAAATGCAGCTTCATAAATTAATTTGCTAATAATTTATCATATTAGATACTGCTCTTCCCCCCGGACCTCTGAGGAGTTCAGACGTTTAAAGTGATAGACCCTTAATCTAATTTATTTAAAATAATAATCGATAAAATTTAAGTCAAAAAATTAAATTAAAAAATTAGGAGTGCATAAACGTAAGAATCGGGCTGTGTTTGCATCGGACTGCGCTGCAACCCGTCCTTGTCATCCACAACGATTCCTCGGCATCGATATCAACGCCCATCGCTTCGCTGCTGGCATCTCAAGAGGTGTGACTAAGATCGACCAATTGCGCTTCCTAGTGGGCGGAGCGCTTCAACTTTAAGGTGCGTACACTATTGCTGGAGGGCGTGTATTCACAGGGGTCTAATTATACTGGACGGAAAGTGAAATCGTATGAAAACGTCGATACCCACCAGAATAAGCTGACCCATGGATCTTTTGGAAACAAAGAATTTTGCATCTCTTCGTGCTTTCTGTTGCCCTGGTACTTTCTTATTTGAATACATTATGCCTCTTAAAAGAACGCCGCCGCCACAAGCGCACACTAACGTTGATATTGTGGTTCATCCGGATGGTGTTTCAACTGCGTCATCAACAGTTGTGATTGCACCTCCTCGTAAGTCTGACATGCTAATTCATATGGACACCGTCTTAAATAAATCTGCCTCTGACTCAGACCTGTCACGAACTAACCCCACAACAACTGTTTCGCAACGAAATAAACGAGGTAGAGAACAGATAGAAGATTCAATCTCAAATCAAATGGATGACTTTAAGGAGGAAATGCGGAAGTTATTTAAACTTTTCTCGGCTTCACAAACAAAAGAGTTGAAGCAGCTTAACACTGCACTTAAAGAGATACAAAATAGCAACAATAACATTGAAAGTTCAGTCGCTTACCTTGCTGCGCAAAATGAAGAGTTTAAGCAGAGAATAGTCGAACTTGAAACACAGGCAAAACAGGACAGGAACTATATTACAATGTTGGAAAGCAAACTAGAGGAAATTCAAATAGCCAGTCGTAAATCCAGCTTTGAAATTAAAAATGTTCCAAAAATGCCGAAAGAGAATAAAGAAGAGTTGATTGAGATGATGATTAACCTCTCTAAGTCGGTGGACTGCAGTTTTTCTAAGTCAGATATCAATGACATATATAGAGTGAGGTCAAAGTCTGACAACAAAAACCCTCCCATCGTAGTGGAAACCAAATCAACGTTACTTAAGGTAGAGTTGTTAAAATTGGCAAAGCTTTTCAATACGAAACATAAAAGTAAACTATGTGGGAAACATCTTGGATATAAAACACAAGAAGACATCCCTATATTCCTATCTGAGTACCTAACCCCAAAAAGTGCACGTTTATATTTCTTAGCACGTGATCTGGCAAAGTCGAAGAATTTTAAATTCTGTTGAACTGCTTATGGTAGGGTTTATGTTAGAGAGAATGAACATTCTCCAATCATTATCATAAGAAATGAAAATCAAATTCATCAGCTTTTTAACGGCCCACGCCATGAACCGAATGTAATGTGACTAGAGGAAATCAATTCCGCAATAATGATAATATTTTGGCATAATTGTAAGTTTTTTATTCTGCATGGCTTTTGTTATTTAAAAAATATTATATTATTAACGTTCTTATTTCATGTAATAATCAATATTCTTTTGTTTATATTACTTGCATTTAAAATTGTAAAACATTGTAACACTAAAACATACATTTCTTTATTACTTTACATAATCCAACCTCAGATTAACACTCACAAATTCAACTTTCTACGAAACACACAACTCGTTTTCCGCCTATATCTAAATAAAAATTACATAATTGTAATAAGTGTGCCTGAGCTGACGTATATTTGCCCGAATGTTCCAAATGGTTGATTCACTTCAAAACTTGAACATGATAGACGGCATTGAGATTGCTCGTGCGGTTGAGTGTGATTGCTCTGAACTATCCAATCACGTAGTTATAAAAAAAAGTGATCTTACAATTATATCACAAAATATAAGAAGTATATACTGTAATTTTGATGATTTTTTGTTGACAATATCTGGCTTTTCCTTTCATGCTGATATTTTGGTCCTAACAGAATGCAGAATTAACTCTCTCAAGCCTATACCACAACTTGATAACTATACCTCGTATTCTACAACTTGTCATCTTAACCAAAATGATGGTGTAGTTGTTTATATAAAAAAAACTCTACAGTCTAAAGTTACAGAAATTAAACTTACACACGCATCTTGTCTCCAGTTGACGGTACTAGTATTATACTGTGTATTTATCGCTCTCCATCCAACACTAATGCTAAAGGATTTATTGATTCGCTTTCTTCTCACTTGGACACACTAACTAAGCAACACAGTATTATAATCACTGGTGACATTAATATCTATATTGCACCAAAATTATCTGAAACGTCCAACGAGTACAATAATAGAACGAACTATTTGAATGCACTATCTGTATATGGTATTGTTGCAGGGCATAGTTTTCCTACTAGGGATAAAAATTGTTTAGACCATTTCATGTTAAAGATTAACAAGAATAAACAATCTGCATTTATTGCAATTCTACATACCACAATCACGGATCATTTAACTACACTACTATCTTTATCTAAGTGCCAAGATTTATGTCCTGTTATTAAATATAAATCTTCAGTTAATTATACTAATGCTCTAAACGATCTTCGGCGAAGGAATATTTCTGAGTTACTATTTTGTAATGATCCTTCACTTGTAGCTGACCGTCTCATAGCTGAACTTTCTGCGTCGATTAAAGCTAATACCACTTTGATTACTATCCCTAGGAGTAAACGAATATTAAAGCCCTGGATTACTCCCGGTATTTTGCGCTGCATAAAGAATCGTAATAAACTACAAAATCAGTTACGTAGAGAGCATCACAATGAAATATTAAAAATAACCTATACTCGCTATAGGAACTACTGTAACAACCTTATCAAAAAACTGAAACGGAAATATGAGCGTGAACTTCTTGCCAAGTCAGTTAACAATAACAAACTTTTGTGGAAAAATATAAAAGTCATAACTCATAGCAACAAATTGAATTCTGACAACAAAGAACTTCTCAACCTCAGACATAACCCTAACGAGTCTGTCAATTTCATAAATAATTATTTTGCAAATATCGGAAAACATCTTGCTGATAGTATACACTGCCGCGCTTGTCCTTCTAAATACACTGTGAACAACAACACTTTCAGCCAGATTAATTCCTTTGTATTGCTTGACACTGATGAGGATGAAGTAGAAAAGATACTTATGAATTTGAGATCCAATAGTGCTACAGGCTGGGATAATATCCCTACTGCTTTCCTGAAACTTGCAAAGAATGAAGTTGTTCCCATAGTCACTCATCTTGTTAATATCTGCTTCAGGCAAGGTGTATTCCCGGCTCCACTAAAAAAATCAATTATTACCCCAGTGTATAAGAGTGGGGATAGAGATGATGTTAGCAACTACAGACCAATTTCGGTATTACCTGCTATTTCAAAAATAATGGAGAAACTTTTAAATGCGAGACTTTTAAACTACCTCAATAATTATGGACTGATTTCATCTGCACAATTTGGATTCAGAAGGGGTAAATCGACTGAGGATGGAGTTCTTGCTCTATGTCAATTGATAACAGAACGGGTTGACAGGGGAAATAAATGTTTGTCTGTATTTTTGGATCTCAAAAAAGCCTTTGACACGGTGTCTGTCCCCATTCTTATACATAAACTAGAGCATTTTGGGATAAGAGGTACTGAACTCGCTCTTTTTAAAAGTTACCTTTCTGAGAGAATGAAAACAGTGCAAGTGGACCTCTACACTAGTGGTGAGGCTGCTGTGTCATATGGCGTGCCCCAGGGGAGTGTTTTAGGCCCCACACTTTTCCTACTTTATATAAATGATCTCTGTAGTCTGAAAATTAGTAACGCTCAAATATTTTGTTATGCCGATGACACAGCGGTAGTATTCACTGGAAAAACCTGGGCAGACGTGAGGAAGCATGCTGAAATCGGAATGTCGTTGGTTGGGAGTTGGCTAAAGGAAAATCTGTTAACTTTGAATATCGCTAAAACGAATTACATCTGCTTTGGTATCCAGAACCATGCACAACCAACTGTCGACTTTAAACTCAAATTGCACTCTTGTAACCTACCCTGGAAATCGATGATGTTAGATTGTGATTGCCCTGTTATGGGAAAGATTGACAAAACTAAGTACTTGGGGGTGGTGGTTGATCAGCGGCTGTCCTGGCATTCTCACATTGATCAAGTTACTACCAGAATTAGGAAACTAATTTGGATATTCAAGACTCTTAGACATGTGGTGCCTGGAGAGCGGTTGATTGGTCAGGGCTCCTCAAGAAATATTCTTAAAGAAATCTATAAAGCACTGGCAGAGTCAGTGCTTACTTATTGTATCCCTGTATGGGGAGGCGCAACCAAAACAAAAATGTTAGAGTTAGAGCGGGCACAACGGGCTTTGTTGAAAGTTATGCACTTTAAAAATAGAAGATACCCTACAGATGCTTTGTATTCTACCAGTAAAGTCCTGTCTGTTAGAAAGCTATACATTTTACTCACGGTAATAAAAAAACACAAATTGACAACCTTTGATCCTAGTAAAACATTAAAGAGAAGAAAAAGCTCTGTTGGACTTCCACGAACAAAAACTGCGTTTGGATCCATGCAATATAATTTTCGCTCGGCATATCTATATTATAAAATAAATAAAATCGTAGATATATATACTAAAACCTCACAAGAATGTAAAAAATATATAATAAACTACATAACTTCGTTGAAATATGAAGAAACGGAGGCCTTGTTACAATAGGTAAAAGTAAGAAAAAAAAAACATAGCATCACCACCCACTCACACGTACAAATACACACACACACATACACACACTCGGCATAAACACATACACATAAAACGACACAAGACTTTCGTATTATTATTTTAAAACTATGTAAAAAATTTATGATTTATTATTCTTTGATATATGTGCTAACATTTATAAGTCCATTTTTTTTTGTTTAAACATAAATAAGATAAGCAAACTGTAATTTTAGGTATGGAAGAGCGGAGTCACCTGTCACAGGCATTATTTGCTTAACAGGTGGCTTCAATCATGAGTATAGAATGTAACTAAACCATGTTAAAGAAAATAAAAAAAATATTTATTTATTATTATTATTTACTGCTACTTAGGCGGCACTTACTACAAAGGCAGTTGAAGTTCATCCTTGTATTCGCTTATGTACATTTTCTCTGAACAGAGAGCACCATTATTTAAATACAATAGGAGAACAAAAAAACTACGGACGACGAAATAGGTGTACGTTTTAACGTGAGTTCAATGTAAATAAATCTTATCTGTATACGGTCAACACTTGAGTGCAAACTCGCTATAACTGCAGCAATATTGTCACTGGCACAATATATTTCGCACAATAACCGGAGCAAGGAAAAGCAATAAATTCCTTTCTCTTATACAGTTATTATTTGCTTTAATTTAATACTGGAGTGCTTTGAAATGGTGACTCCATGATGTCAATAACTATAGGACAACTTAAGTTCTTTTGATCTACTTCATTTTACCGCAAATACTACTGTCTCAATAATAAGTTATTATATGGATAAAACATAAATTTTAAATCATACATTACGTTTTGAGGAGCTCGATGGCGCAAGTGGTTAGCGCGTTCGGCTGCGATCGTTGAAATTTAGCAACTTTCGCAGTGGTCGGTCATTGGATGGGTGATCAAAACTTACTATCTCTAGCTCCTCCGTGCTTCGGAAGGCACGTTAAGCCGTTGGTCCCGGCTGCATCTGCAGTCGTTAGCACCCACCAATCCGCACTGTGCCCGCGTGGTGGGTCATGGTCCAATCTCCCTATTCCATCCATAGGGCAGGCCTGTGCCCCAGCAGTGGGAACATTAATAGGCTGATGATGATACGTTTTGGACTTTTCAAATTTTCTCAATAAAAGATCTTGCCCTCTTAATCGTGAACGACTTCCTTGTGTATGCATACATTATATTGCTAGAAACCACGATTGAAACCGACACAAATATAATTAAACTAGTTTTAGTAAACTTTTACTTTGTTCAAAAATATTCTTATTTAAAAAAATATCTAACTGAAGATTTTATGTTTAGTTGAGATTTTATAGTTTCAGCACCAGATAAATCAAAACAACTGCTGCATAAGTATGATGATATAAATCAGGAGTTCATAAGAAAATTTATAGTACAAAAGTAAACAAAGCGATAAAAGTTTGTGTTGGTGGTAAAACAATGAATATACCTACCAAGAATCTTCCTAACAAGAACCCTATAATTCAAATAAAAAAATCGCTCGAATACTTTATTCATTCATTCAGCAAAAGGTATTTTTTTCTTCAATATAAAACGATAAATTGCTCGTGGGCTTTCCGCGAAATTACTAAAACCTACACCTGTCTTTTAGCTCCATAAATTCGTTCACAAGAGATAGATTTCAATTTATTTTACAGCTAAGTAGGTAAGTGGTGACGACGGTAGAATAGATCGACGGGCCTCGTTAGTATTATACTTCTTAGTTCTAGATATATCTACTTTTGGTGAAGATGGAAGAAGCCAGAATGTAGATATTATAAAGATAATACATTTATTATTTTTTACAACAATGATATGATAAATTTTAAAGGAATCATGATGAAAAAGATCCAAGAATGCTACAGAAAGCAAGAGGCTCAGCTAAACATTTGCCTATTTTTAAGAAAAACACCGATTTACAACCATCACCTTTTTGAGTTAGTAGATACCATGGTTATGATTAAGCAGATAGATGATTTTGCAAGGAGAAAACAGCTGTATGTAAAAGAGCACCTATATAATATTTTCCTTGAGATCAATAAAT